CAAAGCATAAAAAAGGAAAAAAGAACGACAACTTTGAAGAGCAGCTGTTGAGCAAACTCGACAGCAAAATGGGAGAAAATGAGGCCTTTGGTATATCCATTGGCCTCAGCTTAGACAACATGCCACGTAAGGTGGCACTGAAATGCAAAGCACGAATAATGACATTGATTGCAGAAATGGAGGAAGAAAACGATGTGCACACCATCAACATTAGTTAAACTTTGGTTATGATAATTCTTGAATATGTTTTTTTCTCTTTAAGTACTGCTGCACTTTAAAAATTATAAGTTTTCTAGAGGTAACAGGATAGCGTAAATGTACTATGTTCGCATCAGAAATCATGTAAGGTCTACTTGCTTTCTTGTTTGTTATGCTTCTCTTTTTGCTCGTGGGCGATGCCGACACCGAATATTCTGCGAAACAATTTCCTAAATGCTATCGCATTAAAAAGTAGCAAATCGATACAAATGCAATTTATGGTTTCCTACATGCCAAAACCATGATCTCATTATGAGGCACACTCTAAATGGAGTTAATTTTGACTGCCTGTGATACACTATGAAGCTGCTAAATTCAAGTACATGGGTGTTCTGCCATTTCGCCCCTATCCATATGCGGCCACAAGGTTCAGAAACAAACCATCGTTATTCGCAGAGCTACACTTCGCCTGCTAAGCTTCCATGCCGGGTTATCAATACAGAGAATACAAATGTGGTATAATGCAAGTGTGATACGCTGTTTACCAATGCTGTGAAAAAATATATTAAGTGCCAGTACACGGACAATATGTATACAACATTATGTATCTTGAACGCCACATAGTATGTTACTGTGAGCATTTCTTTCTTGGTGATGTGTGTTCCATTACAATCCAAGATCTCTTTCTGGCATTAAATTAAGAGTGGTATTCTGTTTATTGCGCGAATTTCCAGCATGACATGCTTTAAAAAGTGCACTTGTTTTGCATGTCTAGTCTGTCTTTCCAATGTGGCAATGTCTTAGAATATGTGACAGATATTTTTGCCTATTTTTCATGTTATTGTGCACCTTATCAAACGTTTAACTTTTGCCACATGCAATGTATTTGAGCATTGTATATAGTAGTACAAAAGTTTCACAATATGTCTAATACATAGGGAACAGACTTCATGCAGCATCAAACAAAGGGCTCCATTCCACCGTGACAATGAATGTTTTATTCTCAGGTGTTTTTTCTACACATTTCAGAGGTTTGTTCATATTCTTCCAATGCAACATCCCAGAACAAGCAGACAACGCAGGCTGGCAGTTGAGATAACACGCATACGTACGCCTTGTGTGTGTGTGTGTGTGTAAAATTATCTGAATATCTCCATTTTTGTTTTTCACTTGCTGCATTTTTATCTCTGTGTTGCACACAAGTATATCATGTTATTAACACATCATCATCATCATCAGCCTGACTACGTCCACTGCAGGACAAAGGCCTCTCCCATGTTCCGCCAGTTAACCCGGTCCTGTGCTTGCTGCTTCCAATTTATACCCGCAAACTTCTTAATCTCATCTGCCCACCTAACCTTCTGTCTCCCCCTAACCCGCTTCCCTTCTCTGGGAATCCAGTCAGTTACCCTTAATGACCAGCGGTTATCCTGTCTACGCGCTACATGCCCTGCCCATGTCCATTTCCTCTTCTTGATTTCAGCTATGATATCCTTAACCCCCGTTTGTTCCCTAATCCACTCTGCTCTCATCTTGTCTCTTAAGGTTACACCTACCATTTTCCTTTCCATTGCTCGCTGCGTCGTCCTCAATTTAAGCTGAACCCTCTTTGTAAGTCTCCAGGTTTCTGCTCCGTAGCTAAGTACCGGCAAGATACAGCTGTTATATACCTTCCTCTTGAGGGATAGTGGCAATCTACCTGTCATAATTTGAGAGTGCTTGCCGAATGTGCTCCACCCCATTCTTATTCTTCTAGTTACTTCAATCTCGTGGTTCGGCTCTGCGGTTATTACCTGCCCTAAGTAGACATAGTCTTTTACAACTTCAAGTGCACTATTACCTATCTCGAAGCGCTGCTCTTTGCCGAGGTGGTTGTACATTACTTTCGTTTTCTGCAGATTAATTTTAAGACCCACTTTTCTGCTCTCCTTGTCTAACTCCGTAATCATGAGTTGCAATTCGTCCCCCGAGTTACTCAGCAATGCAATGTCATCGGCGAAGCGCAGGTTACTAAGGTATTCTCCATTGACTCTTATCCCTAACTGTTCCCATTCTAGGCTTCTGAAAACCTCCTGTAAGCACGCGGTAAACAGCATTGGGGAAATTGTGTCCCCCTGCCTTACACCCTTCTTGATTGGTATTCTGTTGCTTTCTCTATGAAGCACTATGGTAGCAGTTGATCCCCTGTAGATTTCTTCCAGAATGTTTATATATACTTCATCTACGCCCTGATTCCGCAGTGTTTGCATGACGGCTGATATTTCTACTGAATCAAACGCCTTCTCGTAATCTATGAAGGCTATGTATAGTGGTTGGTTATACTCTGAGCATTTCTCTATTACCTGATTGATAGTATGAATGTGGTCAATTGTTGAGTAGCCTGTTCGAAATCCTGCTTGTTCCTTTGGTTGATTGAATTCTAATGTTTTCTTTACTCTGTTAGCAATTACCTTTGTAAATAGCTTGTATGCTACAGAGAGCAAGCTGATCGGCCTGTAATTCTTCAAGTCCTTGTCATCTCCTTTCTTATGTATTAAGATGATGTTAGCGTTCTTCCAAGACTCTGGTACTCTTCCCGCCAGGAGACACCTCGTAAACAGGGTGGCTAGTTTTTCTAACACAATCTGTCCTCCATCTTTCAGCAGATCTGATGTTACCTGATCCTCACCAGCAGCTTTGCCCCTTTGCATGCTCTCCAAAGCTTTTCTGACTTCTTCTATCATTACTGGTGGGGTGTAATCTGGGTTACTGCTAGTTCTTATAGTATTAAGGTCGTGGTTGTCTCGGCTACTGTACAGATCCCTGTAAAACTCCTCCGCTATCTTAACTATCCTATCCATATTGGTAGTTATTTTGCCTTCTTTGTCCCTTAGTGCATACATCCGACTTTTGCCTATCCCAAGTTTCCTCTTCAATGCTTTGACGCTTCCTCCGTTTTTCAGAGCGTGTTGAATTCTCTCCATGTTATACCTTCTTACATCGCGTACTTTACGTCTATTAATCAACTTCGAAAGCTCTGCCAGTTCTATTTTGTCTGTTGTACTGGACACTTTCATGATTTGACGCTTCTTAATTAGGTTCTTCGTTTCCTGTGAAAGCTTGCCAGTGTCCTGTCTAACTACCCTGCCTCCAACTTCCACTGCACACTCCATAATGATACTCGTCAGATTATCATTCATTGTATCTACGCTAAGGTTGGTTTCCTCACTGAGAGCCGAGTACCTGTTCTGCAGTGACACTCTGAATTCCTGTACTTTCCCTCTCACTGCTAGCTGATTGATTGGCTTCTTGCGTATCAAGTTCTGTCGTTCCTTCTTCAAGTCTAGGCGAATTCGAGACCGTACCATTCTATGGTCACTGCATCGTACCTTGCCAATCACTTCCACATCCTGCACGATTCCAGGGTGTGCACTCATTATAAAGTCTATTTCGTTCTTATTTTCGCCATTAGGGCTCCTCCATGTCCACTTGCGGTTTTCTCGTTTTCGGTAGAAGGTATTCAAAATCCGTAAATTATTGCGTTCTGCGAATTCTACTAGTAGCTCTCCTCTGGCGTTTCTAGTACCGATGCCATAATCTCCTACTGCCTGGTCTCCAGCCTGCTTCTTCCCTACCTTTGCATTAAAGTCGCCCATCACTATAGTATACTGTGTTTTTACCTTACTCATTGCCGATTCCACGTCTTCATAGAAGCTTTCAACTGAAGCGTCATCATGGCTGGATGTAGGCGCGTAAGCCTGTACTACCTTCATCTTGTATCTTTTATTCAGTTTAATTACGATACCTACCACCCTTTCATTAATGCTATAGTATTCCTCTATGTTGCCAGCTATGTTTCTGTGAATGAGGAACCCCACTCCCAGTTCTCTTCTGTCTGCCAAGCCCCTGTAGCAAAGGACGTGCCCATTCTGTAGCACCGTATAGGCCTCATCTGTCCTCCTAACCTCACTGAGCCCTATTATATCCCATTTAACACCCTCTAGCATAGGTAAGTGTAACTGCTCTTGATTTATTGTGCACTTCATTCAAAAGTTATCATTAAATTCCATTTTTTCTACGTGATGCTCTCTATGTTATCTATGCATGCGGTAAATGTTTTAAAAACAACGAGCTCACAGACCTCTGCCATGCACACTTGATATAAAAAGACACACAAATGCCTCGCGGTTCAAAACATTCGCTACAGTGTGCTTTTAGCTTACATATAACAAAATAACAGCTTGTTGGTCATCGATTTTCACTTACTGGCGTACATTGCTAACAAACCCGATGCAAGAAGGGTTTGAAATTAACCTGTCAGGGTGACATTTCCGAAATCACATTGTATTAGTTGAAAGACTAAAAAAAAAACGTGAATGCTTTATTTGTTTATTTCAAGGTACCTTAGGAAAGGGGGCACCACAGAAAAATGGCAGAAAAAACACATAAGAGCCAAAAATGCTTAAAATAATGTGCTTGAAAAACAGTGTTACAAATATAACTGAATGCGGAAATAATCAGATTACTCAGAAAAAGAATGAAAACTACAATTCTTGGTAACATAAAAAGCGGTGGATTGCCTGCGTATAAAACCAGCAAAATATGCACATAGTTCAAGCACATAAACAAACAGCAATGAAAAATCCACAAAAAATCTGTTTGTAAGGCAGTGCTAAACTTAAGAGAAATGCGGCAAAAATACTTAAAGTATTACATATAATACAGTCTTACAAAACACAGTACTTAAATGCACTGTATTCTGCTAGGAATAAAGGAAGAGAACATTAAGGGTACAAACTATGCATGTATGTTTACAGGAGATTTTAGCATCGCCTGACAACCTTCAGCTGCCACGGCAATGAACCTTCTGGAGACATAAAATAGTCTGCTACTTCGTCCCTCATTGCCATGGCAGCTGAGGTGGGGCGGTTGTTTGACGGCACTGTCTTTGTGCCAATTTCAGTGACAGTGTGGCGCCATTCTCCGTCATGCACCGTCTCGCCGCACAGCGTGTCGCTGTACTCGTCAGGGCAGTAGGCAGTGTCCTCCATAAGAAAATTGTGCAAACATACGGCAGCCTGAATCATGTTGTGGAGGAGCTCTGGCGCGCCTTGCACCGTTCCAAGAAACACCCGCCACCGGGAGACCAGAATGCCGAAAGCATTTTCAATGCACCTGCGTGCCCTCGACAAGCGGTAATTGAAGACCTTTTTCCTATCATCCAGCTTTCTCCCAGGGTAGGGCCGCATCAAGTAGGTCCGCAAAGGGAAGGCTGCATCACCAACCAAACAAAGTGGCCACTGCGAAATATTTGAAGGCAGCCCCAAAGCACCCTTTTCAAAAACTGCCTGGAGGGGACTTCCCTTGAATAAAGAACCGTCTGAATATCGACCTTGGGCTCCGATGTCCACCATTAGAAATCTATATTTGGCGTCTGCTATAGCCAGCATAATTAGTGAATAGAAACCTTTATAATTGTAAAAGTCGGAGCCACTTTTGTTAGGACATTTGATCGCAAAATGCTTGCCATCAATGCTCCCTATTGTGTTTGGAAAATCCCATTTGTCATGGTATTCCTTAGCTATGTCGCGCCACCTCTGTGTGCTTGGGCGTGCGAGTACCAGCGGCCTCAAGCAGTCCCAGATTGCTGGTAATGTCTCCTTCAGTATCCTAGCTACAGTAGAAGCATGCATTCGGAAGCTCAATGCAATGTCCTCCATGGACCCTCCTGTGGCCAGAAATCTGCAAAGTTGTTAAAAGAACAGTCCATATAATTACGGTTCAAATATTTTGACATACATGTTTACACTAAACGAAAGTGTTATCAGCATACATATATTCTTTAATGTCTGCATCGCGTTTCACAGACGCCATAGGGCCACAGACAGTAGCGAGAATAGTTCGTCGGTGACTCTATATAGGCTGGATAGGAAGAACTATTATACGCGGTGAAACTTTTCGGAAATATAACCGATCAAGAAAAAAAAAAAGTTAACGCGAACCAGTGTTTACTTTAATGTCATGCACGGGGAAGTTTAGGGAGGTGAATACGTGGGTTCCGTATCTTCGAAATTACGAAAAGTAGGGAGCACGAAAAAAAAAAGCATATTACGGGAACGAATTCTTGCGACATGTCAGCAAAAAGCGTAATTTTCTAGAACAACAGTACACATGCATGCACGTCGGCTCGTGGCCGCATTGGCTAACTGCTAGCAAATATGATCAGCATATATTTTACCTCAATGTCACCGCGAGCCTCTCTGCCGGTGAAATGGGTCTCCTGTGAGTTGGAGGATGAACAAGCCTGTGGTAAACAAGGCTCAGCAGCTTGTCGAATGATGCCTTTGTCATCCTGCGTGCGACAAATGCATGACAGTTACGTATAACATACTTATCCGAGCTGAAGCTACACAATTCCGAAAGGAGCAACGTTTTCACTTACCTGAAATACTTGAAATGATATTCAGGATCACTGTGCCGAAGCTCCTGTACTAGGTGGTGGTATTCTCCATACTCTGGACGCTTCTCAAATGTATCCCTTATGTAGAGAGACCTGTTTCTCTTGCGACGCAGACGACGCACCAACAACGCGAGAATAATCTTTCGTCTTGCCGCATGTGTCTGTGTCCGTGCCATCGCCGAGAAAACAGTCCGGTCCGCGGTGGTGATCGCTACCGACAGAGATAGCGCGCGAAAAGATTTGTTTCGATGTTCCACCACAGGCGGCGCGGAGCGGCGCGGTTTTCTGCGCATGCGCTACTCCGGCTGCGGCAGCTGCGCGACGTTGAACTGTAGGGGGACGGACATACGCCTGGCGCGGCGTAGCCAACCTGGCGTGACGCAGCGCAACCACCGCGCGCGCGCGCGCCGGGTCACGTCGAAGTGTATTGTCGCCTTAGAGTGCGCGCGCATCCGCTTTTTGCGTGCCCGGACCGTTGCTTGAAGAAATGAAACGGGCAAGAAGCGCCGAAATGATTCCTCTACATTGGATCGGATACGTTACACGATCATGGTCCCGAGAAGCCTCCAATCCCACGAAACGTAGGCGGGTCGCCAACCCGTCGCTAAACAGGTTCGCGTGCCTCAATTTGACTCAGCTTGTCTTGCGCACCTATCTTTTTCTTCTTTTTCTCCTGCTTCATCCCTCTTTCTTCTTCTCATCTATATTACTCCATTTTATTTTCTGCTTTTCGTCAGCGCTAGCGCAGTGCTACCATTTCTCGTGGACATGTAGCGCCATCCGGCGTCGTTCACTGAAGGCCATAGCTGACTGCCGCTGTCGTTCCGCGCCTGAGCAGCCGCGGCGATTCTACGAAGAGGGGGTCTTTTGTACAAATTACGCTATCGAAAGTGCATTATCGGTCTCAGCATTTTAAGTAAGCTTAAGTAACATTATTTATTTATTCATACTGTCGATCGCATCAGGGATCTTTACAGGAAGGGCAAATTGAATTGTTACAATAGGACAATACAAATATCAATTATTCAATTATGCATAAAAATATTAGCGGTTAACAAAGGCAGACGAGAAGACGTAATAGTACATCATATAACAGTACACCCTAATACGTAAAAAAAGGCGTGATCAAAGAGGTGTATAATGGCAAAACTGAAGTGAAGAATACGTTTATGTAAAAATGGTGAAAATAAAGTAACAGTATGTAGGATCAACGAAATTATGCGTACAGTGTAACAGCAAAAAAAAAAAAAGTGAACAAAGAGGCATACAAAGGGAAAACAGGAGCAAAAAACGCACTGATGTAAAAAAAAGTTATACAGAAGTAAGGATGATACAGGAGGCTCATAACTGGGCAGCATGTAGCTGATCTTCAAGCAATGTTAAAAAGGAAGATAACGTCGCGCTTGTTGTTACGCTAGGATCCAGCCTGTTCCATTCACGTGTCAATAAAGGAAAAAATGAATATTTATGACTTTCCGTATGGATTACATGCTCATGTAAGGATAGTGCGTGTGTACCACGTTTGTCGTGTTTGGGTTAAAGATAAGTATTTGGAACTGTTAATCTTTATGTCTTTGTGAATTAGCTGGTACATCATTTTTAATCGCGCAAGCTTGGCTCGGTTTTCTAAGGGGAGGATACCGGCCTGTTTTAGTTATTCTGTAAGTAAATCTTTTAGCCTATATTTATTATAAATGCATCTTAGTGCCTTCCTTTGGACTGCCTCGAGTTTGTAAATGAGTTCTTTAGTGGAAGGAAACCAAACAACGTTAGCGTACTCCAAAGATGATCTGAGAAAAGTTTGGTATGCTAATAGCTTTGTGGTAGGGGGGGGGGGGGGGGCTAGCCTCAGACGTCTATTTAAAAAAAAAACAATTTTTTTCAGTGCAGACGAGGTGACGTTGCTTACATGGCGTTCCCATCCAAAGTCATGGGTTAGTGTTAAGCCAAGGTATTTATACTCTTTCACTGCGCTGAGTGTGGCGCTGCCTATAGTGTAGTTAGATATACTGCTACTGGTGTTTTTTTTTCTCGTTATATAAAACGCAGTCATCAGCGAAAAGTCTGACGCTGACAGTAATATTACAAGGCAGATCATTAATGTATATAAGAAATAAAATTGGAGCCAGAACGCTTCCTTTTGGAACTCCGGATCTTACGCTGGATTTATGGGAATGTTGCCGGCTAACTTCTACAAACTGGGTGCGGTCATTAAGATAATCTTTTATCCAATCGACAATGGGCCTTTTCCCCAAGGTTAGTTCGAGTTTATGAATTAGTTTGTCATGTGATACCCGGTCGAAAGCTTTTGAAAAGTCTAAAAAGATAAGATCGATTTGTTTCTGTAGGTGGACACTCAGCGATACATCGTGTACAAGTTCAAGTAGTTGCGTGACTGTGGAGACACCTTTTCGAAATCCATGCTGACAGGGTGTTAGCATTTATTTCTTTTCAAGGTGTTTGGTTATGTGCTTTAAGATTATGTGTTCCAACAGTTTGCAGGATGTGCATGTCAGTGAGATGGGTCTGTAGTTAGAGGGTTCGGTTTTACTTCCTGATTTATGAATAGGTTTTACTTTAGCTGTTTTCCAGTCGTTAGGAAGGGTTCCTGATGACAATGATTTGTTAAAGATTATTAATAGGTACTTGGCTATCCACTCAGCGTATCTGCGAAGGAATGCATTTGATATATTGTCAGGTCCTGATGATTTCTTGGAATCTAGTTTGAGCAGCAAATTAAGTATACCTGCTTCGGTTATTATTAGCTGATCTAGAGGCTTTAATTCCAACGGACGTGTCTGTGTTAGTGTGCCGTCATTCTCCGTGAAGATAGAGCAGAAGTAGTCATTAAGCAGGTTACCAGACGTTCGGTTGCCTACATCTATCGTTCCGTTATGTTATGATTATAAAGTATTATTTTCTCACCGTGGCTTTAGCTATGAATCAAAGGTGGCACCATGATTTTTTTCTTTACTGGGGGTGAGTTTCTTCAGAGAGCGCAAAAAGGCGGGGAACTCATACGTTGTGTTTGGACTATGTTTGGTCTTGAAGGGGGGGGGGGGGGGGGGCTGGTGTATGTTCCGAGGGAGGCACCAGACCTCCAACAGTGCCTCCCGATGGTGCCGCCTCTGCTATGAAATACAAATTTCAGGAAGTTAGCCTGAAAATGTTGACTTAGCTTGTTTATTGATGCTTTGGTTTGATGCGACACAATGAGCGCACTTATTGGTACGTCACAGACGTTGTAACTGCTAATGGCCATTTACTCTTGAAAAAGGAAATGGTAGGAAATGGGAAAGTAGCGGCTAAGTAAATCATACAAGCAAGTAGAGTAATTGGTTTCCAATTTGCCCTAGGTGTTGTTAAGAACTCCCACTCCCGACCCCCCACACACACTCACCTCCTAATCACGACAATTGCGGAATAAATCAGTCAGAGACATGGACAAACTTCAAACTTTTATTGCTAGGAAGCGCAGCCGCTAGCAAGATGGATCCATCTTGCTGCGCTTCCTATAGCAAGATGGATCCTTACCAACTGGCCCGATAAAATTGTTTATTCAAATGTTTGACATATTTTCATGCGAAATTCATTGCAGTTGTGTTCTGGCATCGCTATAACAAAATGCATTTAGCATTTTGTTATATCGATGTTATAGCATTGGCCCTGTTTACAGATATGCGGCCGCAGGGGAAGTGGGAAACGGAAGCACATTTATTTCCCCCTTAACCGGACGCCTCTGCCAGACAGCCTGCAATATTTGAAAAGCACGCGACAAGCAATGAATGACACATTTAAATGTAGTGGCCTGTTTGCGGTAGTTGCTAAACCCGAAGTCACACAAACTGCGCATTAGATCGAGTTCAGACCACGCCACCGGGAATACTGTGGCGTGGCTTGCACCTAGTAATGACACGACCAACATTTTGTAGTCGTTGAAACCCATTCACATTGGGGGAAAAAAAAAGTATGCCTGTTGGCATCTACATGTATATGTGCATGACCTGACCCGTGGGAGCGTTAACCTCCACACTCGTGAATCATTTTTGCCCTTAACTATGACAACTGGAACGTGGCTATTAAAATATTAGTAATAAATTGTAATTATACATTTAGCGCTGTTTCTCTTCGTGAGTAATAACTTTGCGCCAGAACAAATCGCTAAATGGCTGCGTTCATCAATAGTGCAGTGACCACAAAAGGAGAAATTATTTTATATTAGCTCGAAACCATTCGCCGCAGCGAAACCCCATCCCCCGCCGTCCTTTTAAGTCAATGTATGGGGCAGGTCTAGCGCCTCCCCTCTTCTAGTGGACTATAGGCAAGGGGGGGGGGGGGTAAGCGGGCTTTCCACGAGCCGGGCAAAAGTACTCCCTAAATGGAAACTAGTCAGTTTTAAAACTAGCTGTGTGCTTTCCATCATAGTTGCATATACTTTCGCCGTACAAAACATATCGCTGACTTTTTAAACTCCCTTTAGTATTTAAGCGATATTTTTTCTTTATACAACGGTATAGCTGTTATGAGATCCCAAAGGGGTGCCGTATTGTCCGCCACCGCCAGTGTCCGTGACTGCTATCGCAAGAGATACAAACAAAAAGCGAAATACGAAAAAAATATCCAGATTGGGACGAGGTTTGAACCGGGCTCCGCTCTGTGCCATCCCAGTATTACCATTGAGCCGGACGGTTTTTTTTTTGTTTTGAGCCATTCTGGTGCTTAAAATTCGGTTGCTCAGAAACTTTACAAAAGGATTATGTCGGGAAGGAACTGCGTTAACGAACGCAATATAACGTGAAAGAAGATTTTAAAAAATATCATAGTATATCCACGGAGTGAATGGTGGTGATGGGGCGAAGCGCCGGAGGGTTTTATCGGTAAACCGTCAATCATCTGTCTGCCTGTCCGTCTGTGCCACCGGTGGTTTAAAACTATAACGGGAGACGAGCGATTGACACCATAACGAGCTTCGCCCCTAAAAATAACGACCAGGCGTCAAAGAATGCGAATTGTGTAACTATAGGCGTTACGCAATGTGACTGTCCGCATTACGTATGAGTGGACCGCTGAATGTTTCTAAACCATCACAAATGGTTTAGCCTTAGTTATTTATCTTCGTCAGCCACCGTATAAATTATTTAGAGGTGGGTGTTTTGATTGATTGATTGATTGATTGATATGTAGTGTTCAACGTCCAAAAACCACCATATGATTATGAGAGACGCCATAGTGGTGGGCTCCGGAAATTTCGACCACCTGGGGTTCTTCAACGTGCACCCAAATCTGAGCACACGGGCCTACAGCATTTCCGTCTCCATCGGAAATGCAGCCGCTGCAGCCGGGATTCGATTCCGCAACCTGCGGGTCAGCAGCCGAGTACCTTAGCCACTAGACCACCGTGGCGGGGCACGTGGGTACCTTGCAAGAACG